AGGGAAAGGGTTGGGGTCATGGCGGTATTGTGTCCATGTCCTAAGGAATATATATATAAATATAATACACAAAATTAATTTCTTTCATTAGTAAAGGATTATTTACTAGATAAAACGGTATTGGTTTCTTCCATTAGGAAATGAGAAAAATTACTCGTTTTCTTAATGGCGAGTTAAACAAATTTTTCATTTTATAATTATGTCATTTATGTGATTGGTTATAACTTATATAGCCCAAATTATTCTAAATTAATCTAATCTTTAAAGAAGGAAATTCGAACTTACATATAAGAAGATTGGTTCACTGTTTTAATCAACCAGCATAATCTATATGTGTTGTTTTATACTGATTTTAAATGAGATTGAACGTTGTTAATGAGTGTGTATATCATGTAAATTGTAATCAAAATCGAAATATTCTATTAATTACCATAGTTTCAGAGTCCGAGACTCTGAATTAGATCAACTGTGTCCCACGAAACAAAAGAAGGCTATTGTGGCATATGATGGATGATATGGCAATTTCACGTGATGGCCCTAGGCGGCATATGATTACATAAGTGGGGGAAATCTTTGGCGTTGATGAAGAGGTGGAGGTATGGGCAGTTGTAATTTGTCGAGACAAAGCAGTGGGGCAAAGGAATTGTATTGGAATTGTGTGGAAGAGAAGTGTTTGCGGTGAGAGGGAGGAAGGTTGAAGAAGATATGCGAGAGAGAGAGAGAGAGAGAGGTTCTCTGGATCAAGACAGAGGGGAAGGTGCATGTTTCTTTTTCTTTGGCAATAAATCCAAAATCCAATAATTCAACTCCCAAAGCAAAGCGAAGATGAAAGTGTTGAAAAATATAAGTCTCACATCAGAAATTTAACTAAGTAAAATACAATATATAATGAATAGTTCCACTACTATTATAGAGTAATACTAGGCTTACCACATTTTTCATACCACAATTGTACCACCTCTCTAATAGAGGTGGGCTCCATTGTATTGGTGGGCTCCACCTCTATTAGAGAGGTGGTACAATTGTGGTATGAAAAATGTGGTAAGCCTAGTATCTACTTAGTATCATTGAGACTTTTTGTGATAAAATTTCATAACTACTGAACTTTATATGTGGTTAAGTTAGAAACAATACCAATGTTAGTGGACCAATGATCCGTTTTTCTGAAATTTAATAGAAAGGTGATTGGTAGTGATGTGCAGTAAGGTCCACCTATAATTTAGCGTGCAAAATTTTCCCATTCGAAAATTTTCTATTTAAATATTTTTATGTATGATAAAATTTTCTTTTGACATATTATTGTATGATGATTGGAAAATAAAAAAGAAAGATGTGGAAGAAACTTGGGCCTCTCTCTTTGTAATACAAACGTTTTAGTTGTGGGAGGAGCCTAGTAATGCAAAATGCCCTAAAGGCCCATTCTGTGTTAAGATTGTAGGAAAAAGTTGGGTTCTTTAGACTTATTAATTTGGAGATAGGTGATGGTACGGAAAGGCTATAATGAGGGCTTAAAGTGAGGAGGTTATTTGAGGAAGTCAAATCTCACTATCAACAAATGTAAAGAAATCATGGGACTTAAATATTTTAAATGTTTTGACGGTCGGATCGGTCTCCTCAAATAACCTCCTCACTTTAACTCCTCATTGCAGAAGCTCCCGTGATGGTAACACTAACACTGTGCAATGCTGTTATACTGAATTGGAATATGGTTACGTGGTATAATTATAAATATTTTATTCATTTATATTTCAACGTTGAACACATGTATAAATTGTTTTATTTTTATTTTTATGGTTTTAATGAGTCAATTATTCTTATGTGTTAAGAGTATAATTATTAGTGAAGCACGATAGACTCCTTATTGTTAAAAACTTGTGCTTATAGTGATCCGTCTTGCAAGCTAGTACGTACGCTGCTATATATAATGTAAGGATTTTGATGTACAATTTGAGTTCAATACACATGCAAATGAAATGGACATAATCCCATGCTATCCAAACCCTAACAAAACTGCTTTTCTTGCAGACTTTCTTGATATATATATATATATATATATATATGACTCTTTATTGTGTTGTTCATGTGTTATACATGCCTCACATATACGGGGCATGTTGATAGTATTTTTCCTTCATGTTACGTTTGGTTTATGGGAAAGGAGGCTTGTAGATGGTAAATCAATTGCTTTCTCATATTTGGTAAGTCCAAGCATGGGAAATGGTTGCCTGAAAAATGGGAAAGTAGGGGGAAAATATATCCCTCCTAGGCCTGTAAACGGATCGGAGATGGAGCGGAGCACTTGAAATTTGACCTTACCCGATTTTAAAAAATTCTAATATGATCCGATTTGAAAATTTGACGAATCATTAGCAATTAGATCCATATTCAATTTGTTAAATTATCTGATACCGGATTCGAATTCTTTTATGTCATATATTCAAATAATTGAAAAATATTTTTATTTATTCACAAGATTGTTACATATATATATATATATATAAAGTAAGTGAAAATAAAATAAATTGAAATATATGTTATATCAAATCCAATCGGATCATTATCAGATTGGATTAGGCAAGATCCAAATTGGTTCCGTTAACTTAACGCGTTAATGGATTCATAATATAATCGGGATATCGAATTACACCACCAAATCAATTTGGATTAATTTTAAATCGAGTCGGGGCCGAACGGGCCTAACCATCATGCCGGAACGGGCTTTGTCCCATTAAACCTCGAGCTACCCACTTCGACCCATAGGTCGCAGGCCAAATGATGACCTCTACTTATCCGATGACCAAATGAAATATATCAACAACAATAACCTCATCATGACATCACCTATGTATACATGTAAATTATTTATTTATTGTAAGAGGAAATTTGCACGTGAAAAAGATGAGAGGTAGCTGATCATATCATATTCACAGCTTGTAAGGTGTTGACCAAAAAAAAAAAAAAAAAGCTTGTAAGGTAGTGAAGAAAGTGATGAGTGAGATGAGATATGGAAGATGTGTATGTGAGACAGAGACAGAGACAAGATAATTAGACAAAAAGCGAGTGGACGAAATTGAGGGAGAGAACTTCCAGGAAACGGGAAGGCAATATATATTGGCATTGCTGAGGAGCCAACCATATCAATCATTATACGATATGCATATTAATTACATGCTGCAAACAACACAATCAAAAGGGAAGGGACCAAAGGGCCAGGTCCCAGGCTATATGCAATGTTTAATCGGGGAGCTTCTTCCAACCTTCTTAATGTTCTTTGTTTTTTTTGCTGTTTTTATTGAGGGTTTTTGGCAACCACATTGGTTTCGCGGAGAGCTCTTTCTTCTCTTTCTCGGAAGTTGCATGCATATCTGTATATTTATAATTATACAATCTTTATGGATAAAGCGTTACCTATAGTTGACAGTAGGGTATAACTCAGTTGGTTGAACTCTTTTAATCTCTATTTACATGGGCAGAAGTTCAAAACCCTAGACACTTAATAAATATTTATATAAACCCCCTTCTTAATCGGTAAAAAAAGATGTTATTTAACTAAATAGTAATATGTAATTAATATCCAATTATTTTGTATGTTTGTTTCATGTTGGGCAATTTGGAACCCTACCTTGAAGCAGATTGAAAGGCATAACATAATTTTATATTATTTATTTATTTGTATTTAAGCCAAAAACCCACTGACTGCAGTACTGTAAAACCAAGGACTTAACGCCTCAACTTTTTGTGGGTGGCCTTAATTCATAAATAACTCACGTCCACTTGCAAATCCACAAATCTTTTTAGTGCTTCTAGTCTGCCAAAGTCCATTGATCTAAACCCAAGAAAAAGTACTCTTGTCATTTTTCTCCAAAGCCGTCAATCAAGGTGTAAATTGCGCATGTTTGCTTATTAACATTTGCTACTGTTCTCCATACAGATATCCAACAATTGTATGTTTTACGAACAAATTTGAGTTCCAAAATTTAATTCCATTGTCTTAAAAAAATTATCACCCACAGATAACATAGAAAAAAAATAGTGTTTCTCAAAAATAAATAAATAAATAAAATAGCGTTATCAGAAAATTAGTTTGGGTTATGAATTGATAGTGTATAAGTTCAACATGTTGACACATCTTACGTTGATTTAAAAAAAAGAAAGATAGTGAGGTGGGTTTCAATATTCCTATTAGAAAAGACATGTCGAGGTAAAGTGAAGGAAACTCATAGCCCTAGTTCCCTACAAGTACTTTATAAACAAAATATCACACAAGTCTTGCAGAGTTATAACTAGTTGGCTTAGACATGTGGACTCAAAAGGGGAGGGGATTTTGCATTAGCTTTTTTCTTTTTGGTTAATGGTGGAGGGAGATTCAAGCTCCGATGGATCCATTATTGAAATGATCGAGATCATGTGAAAAGTTAATTAGATTACAAAAATTTTCTTGAAAGTTGCTTTCTCTCATGGTTCAAATGATTTCATGTATATTCTCAATGCATGAGGCCATCAAATGGTGAAAAATTAATCTCCATTGAGATGTTGTGTATCAGTGTATAGAACTAAAAATATAACATCGGTTAAACAAAGTCTTTATTAAACCCACAAAAGACTATCACACAAGAGATCTTACCAAAACAACAGAAAGATTAAAAGCTTAAACCCTTCACCATGTCAACTAATTGAGAAACCAAGTGCATTAATTTCTACCATTTGCGTACTTGATTTACATAAAATATGGGTTTGATCAAATTACATGACATAGAAGTACTTGAAATACACATATCACATGAACAAATTACCACAAACACAGGGAAGATTAGACTAAAACCAATAGAGTCTAGTATAATAATCTTCCCCATCACAAAATCAAACCAAATTACAACACAAAGCCACCGTCACCAGCAAAGGGGACGGAGACTGCACCATAATGGCCACAAAGGAGGGGATACACCACCACCACACAGGTAAGCATCGCTGCACATAGAGACCCACCGATCTTTCGCCAAAAACAGAAATTCCCCAAAAATCAGAAACACATTAGCACATGAACGTTTCTCCAAAAATCACATTCTCCAACACACCTGAATCTGCCAGTGCACTTAAGAGAAAACAACTACCAATCACAACACCAAGCTATATACCTAAACCATTTGCGTTCTTGATTTACACAGTGGGTTTGATCAATTACATGACATAAAAGTACTTGAAATACGCATATCACATGGTTGAAAATAAAGATGGATCTTCCAATTGATTGAATTACCAAAGAACATTGCATTGATACAACTGGATCAAAGTTATTAATTAAACAAGATATGACAAGAGACATGATCATTGGAAGCCTCCAACATGTACTTGATGATCATTTACATGATGAGGAGGATGATCAAAGTTTTCCTTCCACAGCTGCTTAGATCCATCCATCAAACCTGGACTTAACCTAAACATGAGGATGCAAAACTCCATCTGACTGAGGGCCCCATCTCCATCCAAATCACCCTCCATCAACATCCACACAAGCTCATCATCTCCCATGTCATGCAAGCCCAGCACAACGCAGTTCCTCTTCAAGCTCTCAAAGGTGATGAGGCCCTTCTCCACATCCATCAGCAAAACAAACCCATTGCAGAGCTCCCCAATAAACCCTTCTTCTCCCAGCCTCGCGATCATGGACGGAAAATAGTCCACAAATTCAACTGCGCTCATGTGGTGATGATCTAACGATATCATGGTTTGGCTAATTTAAATATTCCAAACTAATTTGTATGAAGTTGTTGAGAGATGGGGGTGGAGGATATGGAGGCCGGAGGGGGGGCTATTTATTGATGAGTGAGTGAGGTAGAAATATATGAGGAAAATAATGAATTTAATTATTTTGTGTGACTTTCTTGGTAGCTCCTGTTAACTGTAGGCAACTTCTTCTTTCTTTTTCTTTGGTTCTGTGATGAGCTTCTCCTTCCTGGAAGCTGCATGGGATCTCGGGGATCTTAGGCATATTGGTGCGGGTCTATAAAGTTACAAACTTTAAGGAGAGAGGAAATTACAGATTAGCCATACTAAAAATCATGCTTTGTTTTCTTGACTAAATGACAAATAACTTACGGATAAACACAATTGTGTTATATTTTTTTTTGTTGTCTATTTTTAGTTTTTGAGTTTTAACAAACTTACTACACGAGAATTGATTGAAATTTTTTAAGTGTAACAGTCACACTGTCATGTGATTTTACCAATTCACGTATTATAATATGAGTAAATAACATCATTACCATTTCATGAGCCTAGGATATGGTTTCATCGAGCTATATATGTTGTTTTTTCAGTACAAAGGACTCACTTGTTTGGTGGAATATGATGATCATGATAATGTTGGGTTTATACAATGTGTGTTTATAGAGAGGTACACATACACATAACCAAAAGGTATAATAAGGCGAAAACCATGGACTTATCATGTACAGGACAAAACTTATTGATAAGTAGGACAACATATCATGAAAGGATACTTCCATCCTTGAGAGTTTACAACTTCCTGCAGAAATCATAATTGAAACCAAAAACCTTCCCTTCTCCCTTCTTCTTTTTCTTCTTCTATTTGGTATACATATTCTCACACAAAGGCATCGTCATATTGTAATTAGCAGTCTAACAACGTTACATTAGTGATTCAATTTTCTTTATCGATGGTTACATGTTGGTTATATTTGGTAGTCTAACCATGAGACATTAGTAAATTCAATATAACAGATAAAATACACTAACACATAATGTATTAAAAAAAAGCAATATATGACCATAAACAGTACCAAAAAATAAAAAATAAAAACCACAGTTAACAATTGGAATATGTATAAAATATATAGTACTGTCCTACAATCACATTTATATCATGTGTGCGAGAGGCTTTTTTTAACAATTGAAATATGTATAAAATATTAAATATATAGTATTGTCCTGCCTCACTTACGAGAGGTTTTTTTTTTTTAAATTTTCAACTTATTTTAGAATTCAAAAAGATAATGGGTAGTTGTGTTCTATAAAAATAGGATCCATTATTTGATTTTTCTTTTAATTTTATTTTTTTAATATTAAAAAATGTGAATTTACCATATTATCCTAATTTAATTAATAATTTCAATTCTTAATGTTTGGACTAACTAAGAACATTTTCTAGTATTTTAAATGTTTAATCATTCTCTTTCTTTTACTTTATATATAATAATATACATAAACATAAAGTTAAAACCCAAGAAAATCAGCACTTACGTTTACACGGTAGGACCATAAACATCGGTATATTTGAAAGAACTTATTTGTAAATGTATAAAGACAACGGATAATGTCATATACATAGTAATATGCATCGATCACCAATACCATGGTAGAATGGGTATATAGACAACGGATATTATCCATTGTTAAATGTCAATTTTGGCATAGTGACATCTGAAATACGTCCAACTAGATTAGCAAGTGCATTCAGAAGTATAGGCAGCCCTTCTCTTCTCCAGCTTGTTTGCATCACATATAAATTATAATTGCACCATGCTGATGTTGCACTTTTGTTTTAAACTAAATCTTTGTTATTAAAATATTTCAAAGCTAAATTTGATGGTGATGAGTCGATGAGGTAACGTTCACATTGATTTGGTTGCTTGCATCAGTCCCAACAAAAGGGGAAATTTCAATGCAGCTTCCTTCTTATCCTTCTTCCTTGTTAGATTACAGCCACAACATATATTTCAGATTACTCATTGCGTTTTGGCGCTCCTGATTCCTGCTAACCATGTATTTCAAGCCTTGTACCAAATATTTCAAGCCATGAATTACAATTTACAAATCTAAGAGCATCCACAATCATGCTCTCTATTTTGTAGTTAAATTTTAGCTAAAAACATATAAAGGTAATTTAGGAGCTCTTTATAAAATTTAAACTCTAATCATGCTCTCTAGTTGAGGGAGTGATACATGGTATCACTCTTTTTTAATTGGTCAATCTCTATTAAAAAATAATTAACATTAATTAAAAGTTTGAAATACTCAATAAATAAAGCAGCATTAAATTATAGGGAGTCACTAGGAGTCATTTCTCTCTCCTCAGATTTAGGAGCTCCTAGAGGTCTCCCTAGTTTATGAGGTGAATAGGGAGCATGGTTGGAGTTGTATTTTTCCAAATTCTCCCTAAAATTTGTCTAAGGAGGTGGTTTAGGGAGTCCATTGTGGATGCTCTAATTGAATATACTCATATATGGCTTATTGTTTATGGTAAAATACTAAAGCTAAATTAATACATGAGCAAGATGTGAGTTAGGCCAGTTGACTATGACAATGAGTGTGCACTTTTGCTGACATAGTGTGGTAATAAATTGGCTAAAACCTTAGCTTAGAGCATGTAACTCTTGATGTCCGAAAAAGCCCATACGTCATGGCGAGTGATGAGTTTTACTCATGACACTATTCTCTTTGAATTGACGGATCATGAGCTTGATTCTGAGCTTGGAGCCCAAATTTGCAGTTTGCCCGATTAACCCTTGCGCACGCGTCTCCAGTTCCTCTTTGATTGCTTCTACCATATGTTCTACATCACTTGCACCCAAATTCGAATTCCCCACTCCATAGATTATGGTAGTTTAGAAAGCTAAAAAAATTTCAACTTAAAAAAACCTATCAAAATTCTATATCATATTGGTTTTTGTTTCAAGGGGCAAAATGAACATTTCAAAATCTGCTGGGTACTAGGGAGAGTGGTTTTACACCCAAATAAAAAATCTCAATGGCATGACTGACATTCCAAGTTTTCAATGCATTCTTTCAATTATTGCCATCTTCAAAGGACAATAGTGAATTTTCAATTCATGTAACCAACAATCAATTTCTCTATCATACTTGCCAGTACAATACACATACACAAAACACCGTGGAAAAGAGTATTAATTTGCAGATCACTGGTCTTAGGTACTTCTATGGCATTTTGATAGCGTGTGTGTGAGAAATTTCTCTATCTCATGTAGTTTAGGCTATCTCTTGTATTACTATATATATATACACGCAAAACAAATTTAGGCTGAGAATTGTTTACAGCAGGCCCAAGTTGGATGAATTGGGCTTTGGGTGTTGCATAAGGGTCGACTATCAATCCATTAACCAGGAAATGGTCTAGAAGATTTCAAGAACGGAGTCGTTCTATAATAAGGTTCATATACATGGACTTCAAGTGGGGACCTAGTTTTAGCTGCTGGATTACCTTGATCTTGTCAATTCATGTTACCAACAATCAATTTCTCTATCATACTTGCCAGTACAATACACATACGCAAAACACCGTGGAAAATAGTATTAATTTGCAGATCACTGGTCTTAGGTACTTCTATGGCACTTTGATAGCGTGTGTGTGAGAAATTTCCCTATCTCATGTAGTTTAGGCTATCTCTTGTATTACTATGTATATACACGCAAAACAAATTTGGGCTGAGATTTGTTTAAAGCAGGCCCAAGTTGGATGAATTGGGCTTTGGGTGTTGCATAAGGGTCGACTATCAATCAATTAACCAGGAAATGGTCTAGAAGATTTCAAGAATGGAGTCGTTCTATAATAAGGTTCATATACATGGACTTCAAGTGGGGACCTAGTTTTAGCTGTTGGATTACTTTGATCTTGTCAAATTCTTTCACTATCAAATACACCTTTTGAGATATTTGTGGTCCACTTCTAAGGTCCATATATGGAGGCCTCATTTTAGAATTTCGCTTAAAAAATGAAGTAGTTTTGATTGCCAGAATTTCGTTTGCTTTTGGGCTGTTGTATTCATGGAGATGAAAGGAAGTTAATCTACGAATACATGCCCAACAAAAAGCTTGGAGCTTTTCATCATCAGTTTGATCCTCTTGAGCCTTAAGCATCTATTTATTTGGGTTTTGCTTACTGGAGCTTAAACCCTTCTTGCATATAGATATAGGTTTAAAAGACAATAAAAGATTTCCAGCCAAAAAAGAAAAAAGAAAAAGAAAAAGATCCTTTTGAGATCTCTTGCAATATGATTTACAAGGCCTCTCGCAATTACCAATTTCCAATAATAACGTGGAAAAGTTCTGGGTTCGAGTCCTAGCATCGGTATAATGTGTGTAAGCTTAGTATGTTATCGCCCATCTCTATAGGAAAGATGCTATAAAAAAAAAAAAAAAAAAATCCAATGGGATCTCAAAGCTAGCAAGCAACTTCACAATGGGTCACCCATCGTGGGATTGCTCTAGCCCCAACCTGCTTAATTTCGGAGTTCCCATGACTCTGAAGCCAGTGAGCTCTCAAAAGGCCTCGTGCTAGATGAAGGTGGGCATGTACGTATAAGGCACATCACCCCTTCTCCGTTGGTCGGTGTGGGATGTTACAATCCACTCCCCTTAGGGGCACGACGTCCTGGTTGGCACACTCGCACCACACGATAGAGTGGCTTTATACCAAATTGTCACATCCAGGGATCGGCTCCGCCATAGCATGATATTGTCTGCTTTGGACCCCTTCTATGCCCTCACGGTTTTGTTTCAAAACTCACGAACAACTTTCCAGTGGGTCACCTATCCTGGGATTGCTCTAGCCCAAACTCGCTTTACTTCAGAGTTCCCATGACTCCGAAGCTAGTGAGCTCTCAAAAGGCATCGTGCTAGATGAAGGTGGGCATGTACATATAAGGCACATCACCCCCTCTCCGTTAGTCGACGTGAGGTGTTACACCATGACGGCTAGTTTACTTAGCAAGTTGTTTCTTTTGTCAATAATCAACAACACCTCTCTTTTAAATGTTTGACTACATGCCCCTAATTGGAGCCATAGACGAAAATGAATTTGCAAACCCCATTAATTAATCAAGTACCAAATAATGAGACGTGATTTAGTTTCCTGTTTTATTTGTATTTATTTCATAGATTTGCTGTATATATTCATTGTCTCTCAAAGACTTGATTCTTGCCTAAAATAGGAAATCCTTTGTGTAGAC